AAAGAGAACGGTTCAAACTGATAGATCCTTTAAGAGATAGACACACACCCCAAATCATACCCAATTAATGAGGTAACACACAAAACTGTTCTATTTTATCAATTTGTTCATTAGAAGAGTAGAAGTCTACATTTTATGTGAATATGTACGTTCTTTAATATGGCACTAGAAAAAGAATACTAATTGAATACTCAGAGAAGCAAGTTCGAGTTTTGGCTCAGTCACACACCAATTAAGTTCAATTCTAGGGCCTCAACAGCCAGGCAGCATGACGGCAGAACTCTATACCCTGATTTGCATAGCACAATCCCAGTTTATACATCATCAATAAAACATCCTCATTTATTTTCCAAAGTGTTCTGGTTTAGATAATATTATATGATCATCTTTAAATGGTTAAAAGCAGAGACGAAGCAGTCATGGCTTTACGTGAATGCTCATTTAACTAGAGTCCACCTGACTCTCTAGTTACTATCATTTTCATGTAAGAAAACATAAGCATAGGTTAACTCAGCCTCTCGTTAGTGCTCTAAAAGGCGCAGCACAAGGCTTTAGGTGCCACTTTTCAGTGTGGCAAGTGTGACAAAGAAATATCCATATTGGTCAGTAAAAAATCTCCCAATATTTGTTAGGCTACACAACCATGCAAATAATGCTTTTGTTTATGAAATGAAGTTAGTTCACGTTGGTTTCATTTCCAACTATATAGTTGATTTTTGTTATTCACAGTCGTTATTTTCTACAAAATTATCATGATTTAATGAATCATGACTGACTTAATGAATACTCAACCAGTGCTCCTAGGGGAAATACAGAGTTAGGATCCTACAAACCTCTAGTCACACTACTTTCATCAGCTATTCAATACATTCACTTGTTTTACGTGTATTTCTGTTTAAAGTCGCCTTAGTTCATATTCAGTTAAAAAGAGTAGACTCATTAACAAATCCGCAGCCAACAGCACTACAACTCATGCCCAAATGAAGCTACTCTCATATGTTTTCCTGCTAACACATAGCACAGCTTTCTTGCAGTTTGAAACAAAAGACAGTACTTCAGTATTATGCTTGGGGATCATTTTAAATAGCAAAGTCACCAAAAGAAAGCACAAAAATGAAAAAAACGTAGCACTAAAATTACCCCTAAGATGATACTTGTTTGCAGCAGGAGAGGTGGGTTAACACCAGGCAGCACTGCCTTGTCTGACCACAGCTGTGATCACCTGTTTCAGGCAGCTCAATTTGTGCTGTTCTGCACACGTCTACAAATGACCACTGAAGCACAATGAGCACTGGGGTTACAAATAAATTGTAGTGAGGAGGCACATTCGTAAATACGCAATTGCAAATCATAACAATTATAATGTCCTTACCAATTTAAGTCCTGTAAAAAGATACTTGACTTCCTGATTGATAAAACAGCTAAGTTGAAGTTGATTCTCCTTTCCTTTGGTGACTTCTTCTTCTTCAGATTCTGTGCATTTCATGCTTCATAAAGACAGATAAGGAATATGCCAACAGATATTCAATCTATTATATAATCCTGAATGTAATGTTATCTTAATGGTATTAAAGTTAATAGTGTCATTCACTGACATTTAAAACATTTTCTTTCCCAACAGAGATTCATTTTAACATACTTAAGAGGCTCGGCGCCTGTGGCTCAA